CTTCCATGTTTCACAACCTGACACCTATCAGTCAAATAAGAGGAAAACATTTCTATTGCAGATGATGAAAGTCGAAAAGAAATCAACTTTCTGACCTCCTCGTTAACAGTTTTATCTGTTTATTTCTGCGTTACAGAGAGCCGAGGGAGATAAACAGACTATAATAATCACACATTTATCTGTAGGCAAGTGTTCAGATAGAAACATGAATCTAAGAAAAGTTCTGCTGCAGGTTTGTTCAGGTTTATATTAAAGTGTCTGTTCTGGTTTTTGACTCTTTATTTATTTTTGCAGATTTATAGAACATTTCATCAGGAACAACCTACCTGGGAAACTTGGAAGAGGTTGTCCATCAACCTTATAGGCCACGCCCACTTTAATCTCTTTCAGCGTGTCCAAAATATCCAGCTTGGTCAGGGCAATTCTGCAAAAACAAAACCATCGTTCTAAAAACACCCTGATGCCTACAGACTAGGGAGGCAATTTATCAATGAATGAATAAATCTAAAGTTGATTGATCTTATTGATCGACTAATGATTAATTGATTAGCGGCCATTTTCCTAAAAGCCTGAGATTTTTCTTGAATCAAGGGTCTTTCTATGACATAAAAGGCTCATTTTTTACACATTAAATTAAAAAAAGAACAGTATTACACTTTTTAAAATGTTTTGTGCCAGCTTATTAAACACTGAATAAAAGAAAATTGTGGATTTCTCACACATTATTAAACTTAGACATATTTATAAAATATAATAAATCTGTTAGGTTGCTAGTTGGGAAAAAAAGGGGAAAAAAAGCTAAAACATTGAATCCACTCTGAACAGAGAGATGTAAAACTATCATTTAAACACAAGGTAACGTTTGAAGCTAAACTTTTACTCAAAAACAAACCATAAACAAAATAAAATATCCCTAAGAGGGGTGAAGTACTGGCAACGATGCGTTTGTTTACATTCCCTGTGGTTCCATCCGGGCTTGGCTCACCATGATGTGACGTCAGCTACGTTCGTTTGACTGGTTCATGGCCGGGTTACGTCACACAGATTAACTTCACGTTAATCATGTGTAGAGACTGTAACTTTATTTGTTTTTGTTCTTTCACACGAGTTAAACTCAACCAGAAGAAGCTAACGTTAAGCTAAAGTTAGCTTACCGTTCTCTATCGTCCTGCTCTCTTGTCTTTAGTGTCATACTGCTGGATTGTCCATCAGCTTTCGGTACTTTTTTTTCCCAGTTTGRTGTCGTCACAAATAAAACTAAATAAGATTTGCGTATTTAATTATGATGTCATCCACATCGAGGCTGCTCTCTGCTCAGCTCAACAGTGCTGCTGAGGTMGAGTAAGGCCAGGCTGAGAGCTGTGGCACCCTCTACTGGGTGACGGCCAAACTACACYGAAATAAGRTTTAAACGGATGTTTGAAATTAATAGAATGGAAGAAATTTTAATCTAATAAACCATTATTCTACAGTTAATCATAAGTTGATTAATAGTTTGCATCCCTACTACAGACAGAGAGCTGAAAAGTGAGGCTGAAATGCTGAAATGTTTGACGGTTTCTTACGCGGAGAAGCCGTTGACCATGTGGGCGTATCGGACCAGGATCAGGTCCAGCCAACCGCACCGCCTCTTCCGACCCGTCGTCACGCCAAACTCTCTCCCTCTGGTCTGCAGCAGCTCCCCTACCTCCTGCAGCACAGAGAAGCAACACAAAATCAGCTGAAAACTAAAGATTACAAAGTTGAACAAAAGGATCAGCAGGTTCAGGCTGTTTGAATCCTGATGCTGCCTCTCGTGAGGATCGATTGAGTTTGTTTTTTTTTTCCTCTGAGCAACAGTGTCCTAAAGATCTGAACAGAGCAGCGTCTGGATGTAGAAACGTCACAATAAGCAGGTTTGTTGGCAGATGGGTCGATGTCCGGCTGCAGAAACAACGAACCTGCTCTGTTTGTAAACATTTACAAAACTCACGTTATCCTGCTCTGTCGGGAAGGCGCCGACGCCCACTCGGGTCGTGTAGGCTTTGACCACTCCGTACACGCGGCCCACGTAGGACGGGGGCACACCGAGGCCGGTGCAGACTCCTCCCACGGTGCAGTTGGACGACGTGACGAAGGGGTACGTCCCTGAACACACACACCTGTTAGTGTCTGCGTGTTCAAAACAGCTTTATCCCGAACCTCTCGCCGCTCACCGAAGTCTATGTCCAGGAGAGCGGCGTTGGCCCCCTCCACCAGGATTTTCTTACTGGGTCCAGTCAGAGCTTTGTGCATGAAGTACACACCGTCTGTCACCAGGGGGCGGAGCTTCTCAGCATAGTCCTGGAAACAACCAGAAGAAGAGACTCGGGCTGAAATCTACAGCTGGAGAAGAAAAATTAATCCTAAATATTATAAGTTCTGAATCCACACACACACACACACACACACACACACACACACACACACACACACACACACACAGGGCCGCTCTCACACTTTATTCTTCTATTTTAAACTTCCAAACTCAGATTTGCAGATTTCTCTATTATTTTTAACATCTAAGTAGAAACATAGATAATAAATATTTATATAAATATCTCTAATTCATCAAACATGGTTTCCATTTAGGTTGGTTTATTCTCAACAACTATTTAATCCACAAAACCTCCACTTTAAACCTTTTAGTGCACGTGTCAAACGCAAGGTCCGAGGGCCAAAATGTGTCCCACCACGGCCTTGTAAGTGTCCCATAAGAGATTCATCGATGTATTAAAGCAGTGGTTCCCAAAGTTGGGGTCAGGACCCAAAGTGGGGTCCTGAAACATCAAGGTGGGGTCCTGAAAAGATTTTCTAAATTAATTACATTTTTGCCTTAGTTGCCTAAAATATATAAATGTAGAATAATAAATATTGTTACTATGCCCATGTTTAGTTGACTTGATACAAATGTTTATCATCCAAAAAAGTTGTGGGCACAGGTCTACTGTTATTTTGTGGGTCAAAAGCTGAAAAGTTTTGCAACCACTGCACTTCAGAAATCAATTTAACGTGTAATAAAATAATTGGTGATGTAATATTTTCCCCATAATTATTACAAAAACACAAAATAAGTATAAATAAGCATTTATATTTGTGTAGCCTTTGTTTTTAGAGTTATTAACAAAGTTTGTGTACTCAGACCAGTAATATTTGGGGTCACAAATTTTTGCCATGAATATTTTGTGGGTCAGTAGATAAAAAGTTTGGGAACCACTGATCTAGAGGGGCATCAGAGCATCTAATATCACCCTGTTCTGTTTTATGATGCCTTCTATCAGCTGGCAATGTCTCAGGACATCATGCCAAATCAGTATTTTATTTATTTAATTTTACTCCGCATACATTTTGTGAACTACATAAGTGGCCAATGGGGCATATGACATCTCAAACTAAACATTCCATGTTTAAATGTGTGTTAGATTACACATGACCCTGAGATGTACAGCTCCTGTAGTTTGACCTTCTAGATCTTTGGCCTTGTTTAAACCAGCTTTCCACACTCTCCAGACCAAGCAGCAAATATCTGTCTTTTGCACAGAACAAATGTTTTATTTGTTAGGCTGGTTTCTTTTTTAAAAGACTATATTATTCAAAAAGATTATATTTNTAAAAAGTTTGGGAACCACTGTATTAAAGTCTTTAAAATAAGCTACTTTAAAGCAGCTTTCTTATCTATTAAATGACAGAATCCCACCACTAGGTGGAAGTGGACTGAGTTCAAAAGGATCTGGCGGCTGTAGAAATGAGATGAGGACGTTTCATGTTTAGTGGAAGTTAGACACAAAGTTATTTACAGTTAACACTCATGTGGCCCTCAGTGAAAATGTCTGTTTTAGTGATAAAACATTTATTGTAATTTACCCCCTGGTTGGGCTTCATGGCACCAAACAGTAACACACAATAATAACTACGTCTATATTTTTACATCAAGTCGTGAAAAACAGTCTGGTTTTCTGGGCATTTGGTTTGTAGAAATTCAATTCAAAATATTTTCTATACGTCAGGTCAGGGCTGTTCAACTGGTAGATGTGGCTGTAATTTGTTCATTAATCTCTGAAGTCCAAACTCCCGGTTTTCTACTTTAATTATTATACAGTTGGCCAAATGCAACAATTAACTGAGGCTATTTTTTTCTGCAAATATCGCCTGACCCTATTTCATGGTTCTGTTTGTAACAAGTGGGTCAAACAGTGAAATAACTCTTCGCACCTTCAGCTGCTGCAGCTCCCCTTCGATGTCCACGTTGAGATTCGGATACATCGTCAGGAAATGTTCTGCCAACATCCGAAACCTGCAACCCAGACATAATCAGATCCACCTGGTCACTAAATAAACGAACACATCGTGAGAGACGAGTGGCAGTGATCAGAGCTGAAACACAGAGGAGTGCTGCCACCTGCTGGCAGCACAAACATACAGCATGTAATAAAAACCTTTATTAGTATGCTTTTAAGAAGACTTGTTTTTAAACAATAAATCATATAAAATGATGATTTTACTTTTTAAACATTAAATAATGAACAAAACTAGAAGATTAATCTTAAATAGAGCTGGATTTACAGGATGAGACAAAAAAAATAAAAAATAAAAAGCATAAAGTAAATGACTAACGAATATCTAGTTATGTTTTCCCTTAAGGAACTTTTTTTACTTGCACAGCAGCAGCTAGCTGTGAAGTCAACCACTGTGAAATCTTTTCAGATTAGACCTTCGTGAAGATACTCTGCTCTGAAAGTGGTTCTGATGGGATTATTAACTCTGAGTCAACACATCAGCAGATTCTGACGTTTTTATATTTTTAAACTTTTATCATTCATGATTTAAACATTTACACTGCTGTCAATTCTGCATTACGTGGTTATTTTAAAGAAAAAAAATAGAAATTTAAAGCAAAACTGAGCCTGTTTTGTTCTGGAAGGGCTACAGCTAGCTGCTGCTGCTATTTGCACTTTCAAATAACCCTGATATGAAAATAAAAAACTTTGGACATTTAAGTCATTAAAGGTGGTAAAGATTTTTAAATCCATCTACAGCAGGTAAGATAGTATTTACTAACATAACTCCACTTTAAAGAATGTGAACTTTTCCTTTAAGCTAACAGTAACGTCCATCATCTGCTCTTGCTGTAACATCTGACACTTTAACTCAGCAGATTTGGCCCAACCAGTACAAAAAGAAGAACTGAACGTTTTCTTTGTCTGCTTTCTTAAAATGAATCCAAACATTGATTCAGGAGTCRTATCAGCAGCCTGCTGCAGATAACAGAGGGACTGAACTCACTTGTCCTCGAAAACCTTGAAATCGGAGACGAGGTCACAGACTCGCAGCCCGTTCCGAGCAGCTTTGGATGAGTAGGCAGGACCGATGCCTTTCTTAGTGGTTCCCAAACTGCAAAACAAACACATTTATTTATTTATTTTTAAATACATTTGAAACAACTTGTTGTAGCAAACAAGCAGTTTGTGAGCGATTTCAAAGCTGTACTTTTTCCCTTCCTGCTGCTGCCTCTGCTGCTCCTGGATTCCATCAACAGCTTGATGGAAGTTGAACACTAGACGAGGACAGAGCAAACAAGGAATCCAAATAACGTTTGAAAAAGACACGCGTTCAAACCTGCAGTGAAGAGTACTCACCGATGTGGGCTCGGTCAGAAATCTTCAGCCTCTCCTCCCATCCTTGTAGCCCTGTGGTTTAAAAAAAAAAGAAAACTTCACATCTCATCTGTGTTTTTTTTTTCTACATTTTCACAAACTTAATACGTTCTCAGCAGGATGCACACTTTTGTTACCTTTTCCTTTCTTGGAGTTTTTCTCAGCCTCGTCAAACAGGCCTGGCAGGTGGATCACAACTCCGTTACCTGTCAGGAGAAATTCACACACTGTAGGAGGG